CGAAGCAATCAGGTTGATCAGTGGCGTTGAAATCCCGAGAACAATGTTTTGGCATGCTTCAGGGTCTTCAGACGGTTGTCCTCCAACGAGGCAGTTCCTTCAGTGGAAATGAACCGTTGTAGGGTCCTATGTAGAGGGAGCTTGGAGGGAGGGTAAATTCCAACATCGTTGATGACTCTTGGGTGTGCACTGGTCCTCCTCCTCCTCCTCCTCCTGCTCCTACGTCGTCCTCCTTTGCGGGCGAAGCTCATATCCATATCCCCTGCGTCTTGGACTCTGGGGAGAGGCGCCAGAGGCCGAGGCGCAGTGGACACACATCAACATCTGGCCTCTGGGGGCAGCAGCTTTTTTAGCCAGGTCCGCTGCGCCTCGGGTGTCTCTGGATGCGGATCCGCCCCGCTGGTCCGAGCCCGAAGCTCCAAGCTGCAGTGGATGCGGACACGGTCCACCCGCACAGTAAGGCTGGTCGAACTTCCCAAGGGTACCCTTGCGGGGCGCATTTCGATTCCCCCGATTCGATTCGATTCGAGTTCGATGGATTCCGATTCCGATTCGATTCGTCGTCGGATTCCGATCTCGCATCCGATTTCTCAATGGAGGCCTGCTAGCCTGCCGATCTCCGCCGATTCGACTTTTCCCGACTCGGCTGCTGATTTCCTCCGATCCGACTCAATTCGATCGCCGATCCGACTTATCGATTCGATTTTGGGGTCTCCTGCCCTTGCATCCTTGCCTCGTCGGTCCAGCCTTGGCCACTTTCGTTGGCCGCGCCCCGCTCGAAAAGCTTCGAAGCGGGCGTCCAAGGCCCCGGCATTCTCATCGCGCATCCTTTATGATACGGGCCGGCTGTAGAAAGTGATCTTGTGGGGTCTCGGGGCCCTCTTTGGGGCTCTCATGGGCTTCTTTGTTTGAGGCCACATCGCGGCCAGGCCAGCCCGTGTGGGGCCCGCAGAGGCAAGAAGGCCAAGTCCAGCAGCAGCAGGTGCTGCTCCGTGAAAGTGTCGCCATCCCGTGAGCCTCCGACGAAGGGAGTCCTCCTGCCACTCTTGGGCTCTCTTGGTGCCAGTTGGGCCGGCCTGGACCCTCTCGGGCCACCTCGCGGTCATCTGGGCTCGAAGAAGAGAGAGCGACGCAGACATCAGCTCTCGGCGCTCCGCCCAGACGTCTTGCATCGGCGCGGAGCGCAGATCCGAGCACCCGCGCGGAGCGCCAAGACTTCACGCTTACACCTTAGGCGATGCTTAAGAAAACCTAAGTTTTCGGCCAGAGTCTCGATTATTCTTAACGTTTCAATGTAAATCTTTAGATTTTGATAGAAATTTTGGGTTTTATTCAGTTTCTGAGACTATGAATTTCTTAACCCATGATTTCTTAAGCATTTCGCAGGGTGTACGGCGCTTTCGCTCCTCCTCTGGGCAGCACTCTGGGGCCCTGCACGGGGCCCTGCACCCACTGGCCCGCGCTCCCGGGGCGCTCCTCCGGCCCTGGGAGAGGCCGCCGTCCCCGCCTCGGGGAGGATCCTGGGGGGCCACTTCGCTCCCTGCTGGGTCGGGCGGCTGGTGACGGCTATTGTTAGGCCGGGCGTGTCCCCCTGCAGGAGGAATATGCAGAAACCGTCCAACATAGCCTGGAGACGATGTTTCGATGATTTGTGTATCTGTTTTGGGGTGTGTGTTCGGTGATGTTTCATTTCTCGCCCAAAATCCGCCTGTAGGCGACGTGGCCGACCTAAGACTGTTGGCATCCCGTGCCCCGGGCGTCCGCACAGTTTTGCCCCCTACGCAGCTTGCACCGCGCACACTGCGCCACGTAGCCGACACCGCACAGGTTAGGCCGCACAGCCTGAGCCACAGAGCTTACACCGCAGGCATGGCAACAAGCTTCCACCGCAGGTCTTTCACTGCGTAGCCTGCATCACGGCAGCTGCGCCGCAGAGCATCTACCACACAACTTCCACCACAGCTCTTGCATTCACAGTGCAATATATCTGCATGTCTGGGCTCCACGCTGGTAGCCATGTCCTGTGAGCACGGCCCCAAGACGGCCCAGAAGCCTCCGAGAGGGCCCCACACGACCTCCGATAGGGCCGCGATTTTGCTTATCCTCTGCTGTTGAAGCGGTGCTCGGCCTTCTCGCCTGCGCGGGCCTCCGGTCACCCACGACGGCCACGGGGGCCTCCCAGATCGCCCCCAGACGGCCCAGGAGACCGTCAGGAGGGCGCCAAGACGCCGCAAGAGGGACCCAGGCAAGACGGCCCAGGAGGTCCCCAGGAGAGCGTCTAAGAGGGCCCCAGGACGGCCCAGGGATGTCCCCAAGACGGCTCCAGAGGGCTCCAAGACGGCCCATGAGGGTTCCAAGACGACCCAAGAGGCACCAAGACGCCCCAGAGGCCTCCAAGAGGCCCCGAAGACGGCCCACAAGGCCCCCAAGAGATCCCCAGGATGCCACCGAAGAGGGCTTCGAGGGGACCCCCAGGAGGGCCCCAGGACGTCCCAGGGACGGGCACACGCCCCGGGAAGGCCGAGCGACGGTCACAGCTTTGACGCCAAGGCTCCTGTGAGCTCCAGGGGACGTGGGAGCCTTGTTTTTAGACAGTAAATCACGGACGCTTCCAAACGCCTTGAAGTGAATACGTATACGTAGCACCCCGCAATTGCGGATAAGAGTGAGGGGGCGGTCGCGGGCGATGCGGGCGTCGAGCCGGTGGACCTCGTGGCCCCCAGCTTCCTTGTCGATGGCGCCCTCCTGCTCCTCCTCCTCCTCCTCATCTTCCGCGTCCTCGTCCTCATCGTCGTCGTCGTCCGCCTCCTTTTCCTCCTCCACCTCCTCTTCCTCCTTTTCCTCCTCCTTTTCCTCCTCATCCTAACCAATGCGAGCAAGCCCGCCGCAGGCGCCGATTTGCGTGCTCTGACAAGTTCAGCGCGGGGGGGAATCGCTGGTGGGCCACCCGGAACGAATGCAAAAACAGCCCGCCGCATGCGCCGAATTGTTGGCTTGTTCAGTGAACGTCGTTTTGGTCGCGGGTGGGTCGCGGGCTCTGCACCTCCACCTGAAAGGAATTCAAAAACAGCCCGCCGCAAGCGCCGAAAATTTCGATTTGCACTGAACGCGGTTTGGGTCGCAGGTTCTCCACCTGGGACGAATTCAAAAGAAATCCGCCGCAGGCGCCAAAGTTTTGGCTTGTTCAGTGAAAGTAGTTTGGGTCGCGGGGTGGGTCGCGGGCTCTCCACCTCCACCTGGAAGGAATTCAAAAACAGCCCGCCGCAAGCGCCGAAAAACGCGGTTTGGGTCGCGGGTGGGTCGCAAAAGCAGCCCGCCGCAGGCGCCGAAAATGTTGGGTGGGTCGCGGGGTGGGTCGCGGGGTTGGTCGCGTGTGGGTCGCGGCTGGGTCGCGGTGGGTCACGGGTGAGTCGCGGGCGCGGTTTGGGTCGCGGGTGGGTCGCAGGGTCTCCACCTGGAGCGAATGCAAAAGAAATCTGCCGCAGGCGCCGAAAATTTTGGGTGGGTCGCGGGGTGGGTCGCGGGTGGGTCGCGGGTGGGTCGCGGTGGGTCGCGGGTGGGTCGCGGGTGGGTCGCGGGTGGGTCTCGGGGTGGGTCGCGGGTGGGTCCCGGATGGGTCGCCGGTGTGTCGCGGGTGGGCCGCCGGGGGGGTCTCGGGGTGGGTCGCGAGCGGGTCGCGGGGTAGGTCGCGGGTAGGTCGCGGGTGGGTCGCAGGTGGGTCGCGGGATGGGTCGCGGGTGGGTCGCGGGGTGGGTCGCGGGTGGGTCGCGGGTGGATCGCGGGGTGGGTCGCGGGCGGGTCGTAGGGCGGGTCGCGGGAGGGACGACGACAACAGCAACAAGAATCCGCATCGCGGAATTCCAATTCAGCCACGCACCAAGGGACACCGTTCGGTTCAGCCCCCTCACTCTGACGACAAATTCGCGCGTTCAAGCTTGAATTCTGCGACGCGGAAGCACCGAGGGTCACAGCAACGCCGTTGGATCCGTCGGAATTCAATCTTGAACGATTGGGGCCGCGATCGGTTGAAGGTTGAACGATCGACACGGTGTTGAAAACCTTTGCGCGCGCCGACGCATCACGAACCGACCGTAATATGGGCGAATAGCATCGAATAGAGTTCAATAGCGCTCGAAAGCGCCAAATTGCGAAGAATAGGCGCCCAGGAAGCACCCACTGGCGCCAAAAAACGCCTACAGGCGCCATTTGCGGGGGAGATGCATCACATCCGCGTTGCGCGCTATTGGACGCGCTACTGGGCGCCACTGGGCACGACCAAAGGTTCCGTGAGTTGCTCTCTATCACCTTTTAGGCGAGTCGGTGACGTGGAACGTTCTGAACGCCGAGGTTCCGAAGCGCGAGCAGTGACGCAGAAACCTCTCGGCGCCAAGGTTCCCAGGAGCGAGCGGTGACGTAAAAAGGTGCTGGCGCCAGAGCTCCCAAGAGCGAACGGCGACATGAGCAGGTTCTTGACGCCAATGCTCCCAGTATCGAATGGTGCCATGAGCCCTCTCGGGCAAGTTCCCGCATCGGTCTTTCCGTTTTCTTCATCTTCGGCCCGATGGTCCGGCGAATCGCACCCGGCCTTACCACGATTTTGACGATTGTCGTCAGCAGGAGGGGCAGGGCCACTACGCATGTCGGCGTCGAAGACGAGTACATCAGCATCCTGGCCCGACCAACGCACGAAGCTTTTTTACGAAGCATACCCCTCCTCCCGCCCCCTCCCCCCCTCACTTCTGTGGTCCTTCATGGAAGTCTGAGGGGGGGCCCAAATTCCTTGCGTTTTTTTGGATTTCGTCCAGCATTCGTCGGAGTTGGTCGACGTTTGGACGACACCTGGACGACATCTGGACGATCGGGGTGAAGAGAGGTGGTCCTAATGGGGACGAAATCCAGTCGAGATCACGCTTATGACAGGGCCGCGAGGGTCCACCGAGGGGTCACCGAGGGGTCACCCTGGCTTCCCCTCCGCGACGACGACCTCCTCCCCCCCCGTCAGACCCTCGTCGGCTCGAGCGGTAATCTTGTCTGGTCCGCTGTGGGCCGCCGGGGCCCCCGCGCGCCCGCTCCCGCGGGCGGTTCTGCCCCCGCCCCTCCGCCCGGAGGGGGGGGGGGCCGGGGCAGGGCTCGACCTGGCAGGTGTTTTGGCGATTCCGTTGTCCGTTTTCGTTCTGATCTCGCCCTGCAGCGAAGGCGGAACGAAGACAGACCGAGGTAGCTCGAAGACAAAACGAGGACGAAAAATGCTGTTTTGGTCGAGCCCTGAGCTGGGAGGAGGGACGAGCGGTACCGCACACCACCATCAAGGGCAGGTAAACGTGGAGGAAGGCGCGTGGATTAGCTCGGCAGCGGATCATGGGATCCTGGTATTATAGTTTTTCTCGCGGTTCCGGCTTTAGAGTGTTAGCGTGAGGTAGCTCATGGTAATCAATGAGGCAGCGCCGATTCAGCGCCGAATCAGCGCCAATTGGGGTCGTTCAGCGTCCAATTAGTGTTGATTAGCGTCCATGGGAGCCGATGCGCAGTAGCCAACACGATGGTACAATCGGACCGAGGTATAAGGTCGAGGTCGGTTTGGGGAGGGTGTTCTTCGCGTTTGTTGGATGTTCTTGTGCATCCTGGGGAGGGTATCCTTGGATGCTCTGTGTGTTCTGGCCAGCGGAGGGTCTCATGTTCTTAAGAGATGCTTTTCTGGCCTGGGTCCGACTGTATGCGAGGCACCCAGGAGCTGCCACCGACGACGACGGCGCGCGGAGAAGGCGCGTGGACCCGCGGCGGGCCCCGCCTCTGCACGCGCCATCGGCGCGGTCCGTCACCCCATATGTGGCTGCACTGGACTCACGTCTCGGGGGGCGCCCTCCCCGATCCGTGTGAGCCAGAACACAAAGCAAACGGCACCACCGCACCTACGGCCCTCGATGCTGCGCTGAGGCCCATCGGGCGCCGTGGCGCATTCCGCGCAACAAACCCACTTCAGATCCCCTAGTATACGCGAAGCCCCATGGGGCCGCAGGTGTGGTGGTGTCCTTCGCTTCCTGGTCCACCGTGGACCTGGCGACCACGCGCCAGATCACGGATGCCTCATCCACGTTGCCGCGCGCTCGGCACAGGCGGGCCACACGGTGCCCCCGCGGGCTGGCTGCCGGAGGTGCCTCGGGCGGGACCCCGCGAGGCTGGGACGCCATTCCACCAGGGTGGCCATGCTTCTGGCTCCTTCTCGGACGGGGCTAGGACGAGGATAGAGCCGTTCCAGAGCGTTCGGGAACGCTCTCAGAGCGTCCTGGAACGCTCTGAGGAGGCCGCGGCGCCCGAGACATCCTCCAGAGCCGCCAGGTCACAGAGATTCTCGGTTTACCATCACTCGAGCTGATCCTCGTCCTGGCTTCGTCTCGCTGTGTTTCTGGCCCCTTCCGCTGGCGGTGGTGGTGCCGATTTTCCCTGCTCCTGCGCAGGGAGGGAGAGCTGAATGGGCTGCGCGGGGAGCAAGGAGGGCCTGCCGACGGAGCCGGCGCCGAGCCCCGTGGAGGAGATGGGGAGGGAGGGGGCTGCACCTCGATGGAGTCGGGCTTCTCTGGGAGGGGAGGAAGAGTACCCGTCGGTCGTTGGAGGCAGCTATGTATCGGGGGAGCGTAAGACCCGGGTTTGCCAGGACTCGGGTTCGCCATCGTTTTTTGACGACCGCGACTCGGATTTTGACGAGGAGGAGTTTTGTGGGATGTCTGCAGCGGGAGGCCTCGTCAAAATGCAGGCTAGGCCTCGTCATTTTTTTGACGACCTCGTGGGGGATTTCCGAGTCCCCCGTACCCGGGTCTTACGTCTCCCCGAATGTAAGGAACTCCCAGATCCCAAGCTACTTCAGGCGCCTTCCGGCTTCAAGAGTCGAGCGGCGACCTCTCTTCCTTCCTCTTCGGGGGGCTGGCGGGAGCACAATCTCCTTCCAACGCCTACATCATGTCCCTCCCTACCCCGTCTGACTTGCCATACCATTGAGGATGGGGATGGGTTGCGCAGTGCCCGACTTTTCCCCAAGGACAGATGCCCGCCTGGCATCGCACCTCCCGCGGGAGGGCTGCGCAACTATGCGGCAGGCGCGACCCTGACGCCGGAGGAGCTGTGCAAGTTCGGATGCGGGATGATGGTTTCGGCCAGTGCCGGCGGCAGGAAGTTCGACACGTGTTGCAGGGCCTGCGCCACAAGCGAGAAGCACGACCAGCACGACGAAAAGTGCTTGGCGGAGAACAGACAGGGGTGTACAGTCGGCCTTGATGAGTAGGTCGGCCCTGCCAAGTCAAGGGTACCCTTGTGTCCTGTCTTCAGCGACCCGTGCCTTTCACGTTCCTATGGCGATGTAGCCCTCGGCAGGGTCTCGTGTCCTCTCGCGTGCCCTCTCCAATCAAGCCCGACTGTAGCGAGGGGGTGCGGTCTAAGCAGGGGCCTTCTTAGAAGCCCCCCCGCCATTAGTGAGGCCTTTTTGGAAGCGTCCGCGCCCTTCTCTAGGAGGCCGCCTGCGTGCTCAGAATGTAGCCCGCCCCTGTCGCCCCCCCTTCTGCGCGCCGCAAGGTGCCGCGGTCCTCCCAAGGCTCCACTGGTGTGCCCAGAAGGGGCCAAGTGCAGGGACCGAAGCAGGCAGCACTTGGCGGATTTCGTGCACCCTCTGGACCTCGACTACGCGAAGTGTTGCCAGGCCGCCGGTAAAGAGGTCGAGCCGCTCACTCTGAGAATGGTGTTCGACTGGATGGATGCAGACGGTTCGGGGAAGCTCTCTCGGAAGGAGCTCACGGAGGGGATTACGATCGTCGGTGATCTCAGAGGCGATGAGATGGAGGACAGACCTGTAATCTCAGATAAGGCTTGGAGGGAGGTCGACGCGGACGGCAACGGTGTTGTCAACTTCTTCGAGTTTGCATGCTGGGCTGGCCCCAGATGGGGCCTCCCGCTGGGCCTGAAGCGGAGCGCAAGCATGGCGCAGAAACATTGCTGTACCGTGTTGGGATGCCCTTGCACGGAGTTCAAGCCTGGCAAGCTCCACAGGTGCACGAACTGCAAGCACAAGAAAAGTCTGCATGTTCAGCACGGCGGAGAGGGCGGCGAGGTGGACTATCCAGCGTACTGGAGCACAAAGTCGGCAGACGTCTGCGATCTGGTTCCTCTCCCGTCCAGACAATTGCAGGACTTCCAGGCGCTCTTTGACAGCTCCTACAAAAAGACGTGGACCCGTGACAGGACGAGACACAACCCTGACCGGCCTGAAGTCCCAAAGGGCTACCGGGTGATAAATGCATTCCGGAACGAGAACGGTAAATTATGGAGCGAGTATTTTTCTCGCCTGTCTACGTTGCAAGATCAGGTGAGGGGCGCCAGCGGTACGGGGTCGCAGTCAATCGCAGTCTACAATAAGGAGGTGCGAACTTCGGTGGCTTCCGTCAAGTTCAATCACGGCGACGTGCTGGCGCACGATTGCAACGAGTGGTACTTGCTGCACGGCACCAACCCTTCCGCAGCAAAAGACATTTGCAACTCAGATTTTACAATACGAACTGCTGGCTCGAACACTGGCACTTTGTATGGCCGAGGATTGTATTCATTGGGCTTACATCCGCCAAGGCCCTTGACATTTGCAGTTGGTGAGTGGGAGGACATGGGATGGAGAGGGAGGGGGAGACGGGCCCGGGCCACTTGGGACATATCGGTGCTTTCTGGGAGCCACTTTTGAGCTTGTGAGCGGCAATCTCCCAGGGGCCCTTTGGGGCCGTCTTGGGGCCGTTCTTGTGCACCCTTGGGACCGCCTTGCTGGCCTGTTGAGGTTCCTCCTCCTCCTCCTCCTCCTCCTCCTGTTCCTGTTCATTCTTCTTTTATATTCCTCATTTACCCTCAACTTCTCGCTTGTCGTTGTCGGGCGTAGCTGGAGCTCGGCAGGTGTGGAGAGTGAGGCAAGATGCCCGTGCGAAGCACGGTCTTGCTTTCCACACACCTCGGGCCTTGCGAGACACGGCGGCGAAAAAATGATCGTGATGTGGACGGAGGACCACGAACTTGTATGCAAGAGTGTGCATGGCACGCTGGCACCGCCGACTGATGGCACCAGCTTGAACATCGATCGGCACGCCGGCGGGGACGTCCCACGCCGCGCGGATACACCCATTCAGAAGCAGGGCAGAACGTTCAGGTTCGGGGGGCTCCGGGCGAGCGCCGGCAGCCGCAATCCACGCCTGGGTGTGACTGCTTCGGTGGCAGGGCATTGCCAAAGGATGTGTTTCGTGGTGGCCTTGGTGCGGCACACGGGGCAATCCGGGGCCACAGTGCTGTCGACGTGGTGGAGGCGGTCCGAGCTCGTTCCCGACGACACACCGCCAGGCCCAGGTGTGATCTGGACCATTGTCGCAATCGTCCAGGAAGTCCCAGAGCACCATCCCATCGAGGCTGGAGATGATGACCACGTCCTGCCGGTTGACCTTTCGCCTCGCCAGCCTCCCGCACCGCGTTGTCGAGCCCAGCGTGAGTCGTGTTCGTGAGAGATGGGTCATCGGCCGTGCTTCAGCCAATGGAATCCAAGAGCTCGCCCATCCGCAGCAGCCACCCAGCAGACGGGCGAGCTGCCGGCTGGGCCGGCTTCCCTCGCTGGCGGCGTACGAGTGCCTCCAGGGGTCCGCCGAGAGTGCGCTTGAGCATGCCCGCGGCTGTGTGTAACGCCGCGCCCACGAGTTCGATCTCCCACGCTTCTGGAGACACGTTCCAAGCGGCTCTTCGGTGTCCTCCAGGAGGCGCACCAGCGCCAGCCCGCGAGGGGCTGCCCGCAGGGCCTGGAGGGTCTTGTCATGCAGGACACTCCACGTCGCATCCCAGGATACCAACGTTGGTCATGGCGACTTGCCGCGCCCAGTGCTTCGGCAGGCGAGCCACCCAGCTGATTTTCTTGATCCGTGTGAGACGCGCGAGCAGCGCCTGGGCCCAGCGCAAGGCCCGCGGGGCGGCCTCCGAGAGGCCCCCACTTGAAAGGCCCAGGCGGACGCCAAGAACATCCGCGTAGCCCTGGTCGCTGCCTTGGACGCAGGCGGCGGCCCTTGCCAATTTTCCGGGGTCGTCCTCCTGGCCGCTGAGCCAGTCGAGGTAGGCGAGCGCGTCGGCGGCCGTCTCCACCCCCAGGGCATTGGCAATCATGATGATGTCATGGTCCGCGGCGAGGCGCTTGGCGCGCGCTCCAGCTAGAATGGCAGCCCCGAGCGGACAACCCGGGCCATCGTGCGCGAGGCCGCGTTCCGGGCTTTTGACGACGGCGTCGCGGGCGCATTTTGCCCGAGAGCATGACAACGGCGCGCTTGCCTTGCACGCGGAAGAGGCCGGCAACCTGCGCGACGAGCTGGGATTGCAAGCCGCGCGGAGCGGTTGATGAGATTTTTTCCGCCAGACCACGAAGCAAGCGTCGTCCTCATTGGCCTTTATTAAAGATCGCCGAATCGACAGGAAGCACGGCAGCCGCGGCGTCGATGGGCAGTTGATCGGCCCTTGCTTGCATTTCTGAACCGCAATCTTTTCGAAGGCCCTGGCGACCGTCTGCGCGACCTCATTCGGGCGGGGGCCCTGCCCCGAAGGCCCGGGGATCATGGCCAGTTTTTGGTCCTTCAGAGCGTTCGGTTTCCTCCTCTTGCATCGCCGATGCGCCCCAGCAGCAGCTCGAGGGCGACGCGCGGCGCCTGTGCCGGCCCCGCAGCAGGGCTCACCATGGACTGGAAGGTTGGGCGCAGGCTCGGCCTCAGGCGGTGCGATCCGTTCGGCGAACGCTCTGACCTCGTCGATGCAGTCGTCGATGCGGCCACCATGGTGGGGCGATGCTTCCTGTTCCCTCGCCGGACAGCCTCGGCCGCGACGCCGGAGTGGGTCCGAAGAGAGTCGTCCTGCGGCATCCGCGGCGGCAGGTGGTCTTGCGAGAAACGTAGAGTGTAGCTGGCCTTCGCGTGTTTCTCCTGCGGCCGGCGGCGCCGCTGTTGGAGTCGGGTCTCTTCGTGGGCGGCGTCGGGCACGTCTATGATTGAGCGAAAACAGTCGCGGTGGCGGCGGCCAGGGTTCTGCCCCCAAGGCTCGGTGAGATACCGCCCCAGACAATGTTTTGCCGGCTTCTGTCAATGACCTAAAGAAGATCGCAATGATCGCGCCGTCTTCGTCGCCCTCCTCCTGGGGTGCATGCCCTGGCAGCCGCGCCAGACCCGTTGCCGGCGGCGCAGCGCGGCGCCTCGCCACCCGCTCCTGCGCCCCAGAGGCACGCGGCACGACGCCTCCAGGAGGTCGCACCACAGCTCCCAGAGACGCGATGGATCGCACGCTGCGTGCGCCGCGTTCCAGTCGCCCTCGACGCCGTGCGTCTGGCCCCCCAGTCGCTCTCCCACTCCTCCGCGCTAGCTGGGGACTCCAAGGGGGCGACGCGTTGAACTGTCTGAGCCGGGGCCTTCATTTCGCGCTGCGCACTGAGAAGCAGCGGCCTCGCCGTCGCCAGCGGCCGCGCTTGTGCTGGAGGTGTTGGCGGCGAGGTAATTTCGCGCGGCGCAGTCTACGAAGCGGCCCCCGTTGGCGCGACGCCACCCAGGCCCCCCTCCAGGATGGCAGCGGCGCGCGCAATCCAGAGAGCCAGCGGGCGCGGTGCCCTCGCCCATGGCCTCGCAGTTGAAGCCCCCGCAAACTGTTGCAGGGAGATCGGCGTCAGCGACGCAGGCGGCAACGGCGGCGGAAAGGCGCTGTCTCTGCTTCTGGTTGCGAACATCGACGTAGACGACGACGACGACCAGCATGGCGCCTCGGCCGCGTCCGCGGGGAAGCACCGAGACAACGTGGCCTTGGACGTCCGGCCCCTGCGGCCCCAGGCCCGCGAGCAGTTCTGGGCGTCCGGGGGAAGCGACCCCCCGAAACCGCGGCGGGCCCGAAGAGCGGCGATGCCATGACAACCCAGCCGCGCATGCTTAAAGCCGTTCAGCGGGGAGCGCCCGACACAAAAAAATATTGGGAGGGCCGCTGGTAAAGACGGGCGGGCGGATATAGTTTTCGCGGCCCCCACCTTCCAGCCTCGCGCCACCCCCTCCCCGCTGCCCTGGAGAGGGGCGAGTGGCTCTGCGGGCAGGGGCGCCGGGATGGATTCGGCGGGGCGCGCAAAGACGTCGCCGCGCCGCCTGGCCCCCTGCGTTCCCGCGCAGCGGTCGCAGTTCGCGCGTTGCAGCGCTTCTCGCGTGCCGAATGCACGCCGAATGCGTTTTGGATGTTGTCTTTCGTCGTGAAACTCATCGGCCGCGACAGCGCGCCGCTGGGGGGAGTGGTTCTGGGGCGCGGGGGCGTCGACGCGGAGGGTGGCGCGCGCGGGCCGCCATGCCGTCTGAGCGCGTAGAAGGCGGGCGCGTCCGCCTTCGCCTGGCGGAGCATCAGCGCCGCTGCGCCGTCGAAGTCCTGGGTTCAGTGGGCGATCGAGGCGGGCGCGCTAGCGCGCGGCGTCTGGCGGCGCGCCGATTGCTCTCGCCGCCCCGCGGTCTTGATGGCCGGATCACGCGCTGCGGCCGAAGAGGCTCGATGGCAATCAGCATCGAAGGTTTCCCATCGAGTGCCGGGCTGCCCGGGCCGCCGACGCCGCTGGGCCAGCTGCGCGTCGGCGCGGGTCGCGGCCGGAATGCTTCCCGCCTGCCGCCCGCGCAGGTAAGCGTAGAGATCACCCGGGCAATAGTCATTGGTTTGGATGTCTTCTGCGCCCCTGTTCAGCATCGCGCGGTGGGCCCACCGCCCGCGGTCGCCCGCCATCTGCTCGAGCTGCCGCCCGACGTCGTCCACGAGTTCTCTCGCGCAGCACGCGCGCAAAGAGGAGAAGAGGTCGGCTTCGAATTCTTGGATGGCTGCGGGGGCGGCCTCGTGTCCGCGCGCCGTGACCCGGCGGCGGCGCCGAAGGGCAATGTTCGCTGGAATTGCGGAGACGCCTCAAAGGGACCCAAAGCAGACATCACCTCCCTGGGGGGCGCCACCTGGAACTGCCGCCACTGTCGCATGCTCCTGGGAAGTGTGGGGGGGGCAGCCTCATGGGGATCCGAACGAGGCCCCACGCTCCCTGACTGCTGCCACGTGCGCAGCTGGCGCCATTCTCTTGAACTTGCGTGGGGGCCCGCGGAGCGACGTCTTTCAAAATGACCCCATAACCTCAATTATAAATGAGCACGTGGCCTCACTGAGGCCCCAGTCCTTGCCTTAGGGGTAATAGTTGTGGGCGGTTTGCTTTGCCACATCTGCAGAGAAGTCCCCTCATCCCTGATGTGTTTCGCCCTCCTACCTTATATAGGTCAATCCCCATAGAACAATACATTTTTTTTGTAAACAAAAACAACCTTATAGGTCAACCCCCACAGAGTTAAGGGTCCTTTTTGTGGTTGACCAAAACGAGACCTCGCGTGCCGATTGCGCGATTGTCGCAACGTTCGTGAGCCCGTGCGCGGTCCAGCGGAGGGCGGCGGGGCCACGGTGATCCGCGCGAGATCTCGCTTCCCTTGGTGCTGCCAGTCTTGCAACTGCTGCCACTCATTTTGTGGAGCGGAGGAAGGAGGATGATGAGGAGGAGGAGGAGGAGGAGGAGGAGGAGGAGGAGGAGGAGGAGGAGAGGAGGAGGAGGAGGAGGGCGGGGAACCAGCAGAGCGTGGTCCTACGGGGGGGGTCCAGCGGCGCTGTCGTTTCAGTCAGGGGTGGAAAAACCACCCGGACCAGACAATTGGTGTTTCCTCAACGGCCCTGGGCGTTTCCTAAACGGCCCTGCCCTGCTTGAATATTTCTTTGGGTGCGTTTACTAAACGGCTTCGCAGGTCGGGGTGGGTGGCGGTTTCGCGGCCTTCAGCGTGCCGTCCGTCGCTCACTGCTTTTCCCCTCGCTACCAGCGCGGCCCGCCGTAGCAGACTCGGCGTTCGACTCGTTTCGGGCGCCCGCGGACCAAAAAACGCCGGGCCGATTATTATCGGGGTGGGTTTTTTCTGCCCTCTGCTCAGGCTCTTCCCGTGCTCTGTGCGTCGGGGGCGTTTGATTTGCGCCGGCCCACGGCATGGTGCAGCAGTCGCTCGATCTGGCTCCGGGCCCGGCGGGTCTGCCGCGCGTCGCGGGCGGGCCGGGTGCGTCACGGGGTGACGTCGACGATCTTGGCCTGCCCAGGCTTTGCAAACTGGCAGGCGCCCGCTGCGGCCCACGATTCGCTGGCTAACACAGGTCATGATGTTGAAACAAGTCGAGGAGAAAACGATAAGTCACCAGCAAAGCGAGAAACGGATTGATGACAGTGCGCCGCCTCGTCGGAACAAGACAGTCCATGATTTGATAAACGCAGAAGGCGGCTTATTGAATTCAAAAACGCACAATCTGCATCCATGGACATTTTTCGAAATCACAGACCCGATCACCACCATGACCTGAGTGGCTCGACCCACGATGCTTTCAAGATCGTTGCAAGTGTCCACGACGGCTCCAGAGGCCTCCAAGCTCGCCCCAAACATGGCCAAGAAGAGCTCGGCGGAATCGTGGGCAGGTAGAGGGGACGAAAAGGCAAGAGTGCAGAAGGGGGAGGAGGATGATGTAATGAGGGTCGGATTCCGTAGGAGCCCACTTTGATATTTGGGGGGTATGTAGTCATTGATCACCCATGTGTGCTTGCCTGGTTTTCGCAATATCGCATGCTTGTTGTTCAGAGCATTCAAGACGGCATAAGGGGCACCCATAAATCGCACCATGCCGCCCAAATTAGTGTCATGAGTTGAGTAGGGCCGAGGGTCAGAGAGCGCCTTCCTCTACAGGACCACCCAAAAGAGGATATCAAGGTGGTCAAACGCCTCGCCGGTTAAGCCAATGAAGATGCGCAACATCCAACCATTCGCTTATGTTCAAAGTGTTGGCTTGACGTCGGGTGTGGTGCACTCATTTCAGCTTGACCGAGCAGGTCGGCTGTGCCCCATGACGTCCGTTTGGGGTGTTCTGCAGACCTGACCCCCCGGCCCTGCTCAGGTCATGAGAGCCCCCAGCTGGCCCCAAGGATGCCAAAGCAGGGTTCCCAGACGGTCCACGAGTGCCGCAGGACGGCCCGACAGAGCATCAATTGGGCTCGTCTTGCTACAGTAGCCCTCGGCCCCAAGTGGCCTCATTCGGTCCAAGAAGGCACCAACACATCGTAAGCCAGCGGTTTGACGGCCAGAGAGGACCACATGGTGCTTGCAAAAGGACGGAGGGGGGTCTCCCAAAGAGCACCACGGCCGCCCCAGGACAGCCCAAGAGTCAAGAGCGCTTTTCGAAGTCAACCTCGGCCGAGTGAGAATTATTATGGTGATATCTGCCGCAGATGTGATACGTCTTCACACCACTTGGCCACATGCGCAGGCCCATCTCGAAGCCACGGGATGGTGGTAATTAGTCGTATGTATTCTCGAGACTCTTCCTCCAGTCCTCATCATCACCCTTCCTTACTCATCCTTCGTGCTTCTCCCGCAGTCTCATCACTCCTTTTCCTGCATATCAATCCTTATTCTCAGCTCCGCCTTCCACCTCTATATGCCTCCTCGCCCCCTCAAATGAGATCACCAGAGTGCGCCAAGTGGGATCCCCATTTATCCTTAGTCGAACCCTTGGATCTCATTATTGTAGTGGCCTTCGGCCAGTGCCGCCGATCCGGGTCGCTCGGGGTTATTCTCCAGACGCAGAAATTATGGGCGCACACTCAAACGCACACACACAGTCACACCACTTAACCTGCGCCGCAGACATGCGCACACAGCATCACCCACACACACATACTAGTTGGGAAACGCTCCTGTAGTACTAGTAGTAGTATTAGTAGTAGTAGTAGTAGTAGTAGTAGTAGTAGTAGTAGTAGTAGTAGTAGTAGTGGTAGTAGTAGTAGTAGTAGTGGTTGTGGTAGTAGTGGTAGTAGTAGTAGAGGCCTCGTTCCGCGGCTTCTCTCGACTTCCCGCGGTCTCTCTCAAGTTTCGAGCACGCGGTGAGTTTCACGATATATGTGTGTGTATGTACGCGTGCATGCATGTATGCATGCATTGATCATGTGTGCCTGTGTGTAGGTACGTATGTATGTATGTATGCTTGTGCGCGTATGTATGTATTTAGTTTGTATGTATGTTTGTATGTGTGTATGATAATATGTGTGTATGTGTGTGAATGTAAGTATGTATGTCTGGAAGATTGTTTTTCTATGTATGCAAATGTGTTTAAATGTAGGTATGTATGCATGTGTGTATGGATGTGCGTTTGAAGAGCGAGGATGTTTCAAAGAAGAGGCACTCGGTGACGCGATCGTTGAGGGATAGGAGTGAGGTCGCAGAGGAGGAGGAGGAGAATGAGGAAGAGGCGATAACTTGAAGGAAAACGATGAGACGGAGGACATCCTGCCGGTGGCGCCCTGGGCGGTGCCGCGGAAGAAACCGGGGGCCTGCCGGAGGCAGTCTGGAGGCCTCTGGGGAGCTGTTTTGGGGCCTCTTGGAACCTCTTTTGGGCCTCTTGTGGGCTTCTTGGGGCCCCTTGGGGGTCTCTTGGGGCCTCCTGGGGGCCTCTTGGGGCGGAAAGCTCGGTTCTTTCGGTTCGTGGTCCCCCTCTTGGGCCCCTCTTGGGGCTCTCTTGGGGCCTTCTTGGGCTGTCCAGAGGCCCTCTTGGGCCGTCTTGGGGCCCTCTTGGGCCGTCTTGGGGCTCTCTTGGGCCGTGTTGGAAGCATCGTGGGCCGTCTTGGGACGGACTTGGGGGCCTCTTGGGCCGTCTTCGAGCGTCGGACGCCCGAAAAGGCAAGAACGCTAAAAACCCTGAGAAAACCAATGAAAATCAACGATTCTGGCCTCTTGGGGCCCTCTTGGGAGGCCTCTTGGAAGCTTCTTGGGGCGTCTTGGAGACACCTTGGGCCGTCTGGAGGCCATCTCGGGCGTCTTGGAGCGATTTTTCGGCGACTCGGGGCCCTCTTGGAACCCCTTGGGGGTCTCTTGGGCCCCCCCCCTCCTCCAAAGCGCCGGAAAAAGCGGAGCATGGCGCCCCCCCCCCCCCTATCTTCCACTCCCCCGGAGCGGCCCCGGGGTTCGCCGGAAACTCGCACCCCCCCCCCCCCCCCCCACCCCCCCTTCCCCGGCAGAGCCACCCCGGCGACCCCCCCAGAGGCTGAAGCTCAGCCTCGAGGCTGTAGCTGAGACTCCTTGAAACTCACACGCCGGATCGGCGGATTTTATCCTTAGTCGAACCCTTGGATCTCATTATTTCCTGTAAAATGAGTTCCACGGCGTGCCTGTTGCAGGCTAGTGCGGATGCACAGGCCCAAATATTACCCTAAGACGTTTTCGACATCATGTGGATCTGGGTGATCATGGTAAGGTCGTGGCGTGGCGCCCAAGCTAGCTAGAACCTCAGCGCGCGCGAAGCACGCCATGGCTTTACTATCTCGTGCCCAGCATGGGTCGTGCAATCTATGTGGTTCAATCTTGTGGGTGTGATCTTACGCTACCGAATTATCACCGACTAC